CCCTTGCCTGCTCTCACCCTGCCCTGCCAGAAGCACCTTTCCTCCTTGCTGCATTGGGCTGTTCTGCAAAGCAAACCCTGCCTTTGAGGTACATCTGATCACACCAAGATGGCATGTCCCCACGAAAAAAAACACACACAACATCAAGTGCAAAGCTGGTTTGGGTAGGAATGTCCAAGTTATGCCAGTGTAAAAGGAATGGAGAATCCATGCCTCAGCAGTAACACTGGTGGCTCTCTGAAGGCTCTGCCTGGCCATAGGAAACACTATCATCTGTGGAACGGGCACGTTCAAAAGGCTTTTTCACATCCAGACATGCCTGCAGGTTGTTTGAAAGATGCTGTCAGATGGCACTTGCTTCTCTGCACCCCAGCATGTTCCATTGCAAAGGCTTATAAGGACTAAGTCCACAGATTGCCTCCATCACCTGTCATGGAGCAGCAGTAAGTGATATACAAAAGCTGATCTTCATTGTAATATACCCAGACAGCACAATCCCTTGCAACTAAGAAGAAAAATAAATGAGTGGCAAATACACCCTACCCGGGGGTAAACCAGCATAGCATCATTTATTTAGATTTTGAAAGCAATAATTGCACCTACCCTTGACTCTAAGTACCCGTGTGTAATGGAGCAGACAGCAAATGCAATTAAATTAAACGTCAACAGCATTAAACATCAGTTCTTAACTCCCAACCTACTCCATCCATCAGCTAACAAGCACCCTGAACTTCCTCCAGAGACCTCCACACCAGAGCTCTGCTAGCTGCTCCTCCCTGCTCTTTAGCACGTGAATTTACCATCTGCAGCAGCAGAAGAGCAGCCCTTTCTGCAGCCCCACATTTAGGAAGGGACCACACGTGATTCCTTCACAGATGCTTAGCTGAAAAGGACCTGCTAACACATGCGCCATAAACCCCTGCTTTTTGGCACCACAAGCCAAAGGACTTCTATCACCCCCTGCAAGCCTGCCCATCTTGCAGGACGGGGAGAGGTTTGGTTTATTTAAAGGTGAGGAGCAAAGCAGAACACCCCTCGCCTGTGCTCAGAGCAGCAGGCACGTTCTCTCACAGCCTAAACACATGAATCCCTCGATGCAAGAGAGATAACAGGGGAAAGCCCAAAGCAGCTGCTCCAGATGGCAGCTTCCTCCAGAAGGACGTATTTAGAGGACCATCTGAATAGCTACTGGATCACCATCATGCCAAGAGCAGCAGAAACCTCCCCTGCCCAGCACCAGGCTTCCCACCCCAAAGCCACAACCAGGAGATGCTGGGGGGAAAAACCCACTTCAGAGTGTGGGCTGTGGCAAAGACTGCTCTGCCCAAACAGATTGCAGGCCAGCACTGGGAAGGCAGAAATGGCTCCAAACCATCTTTGTGCCTCATTGCAAGCTGCTGCAAAGGCTGGGGCAGCCCGGAAGCACCCAGCTCCGCAGCAGCCCCGGGCAGCGCACATCTGCCTGTGCCAGCATTGCCACAGCAGGGGAACACCCTGCAGTTTGTTCCTCAGACCCCTTTGGTCAAAGACAACCTGCTACAGCTTTTGGATCGGGATTTTTTTCAAGTTTCCCCAGCAACACAAAACCAGCAGAAATATCACTGGGCTGCTGCGGCTGATCTCTGCAGCTCCAGGACAGCTGCCTCCTGGATGTGCTGCCCAGCCACACTCCCCTGTGTCAAGTGCTGCTTGGATTCAACTCCTGCTCCCTTCCCACCATATGGTCTCTCTTCTCTTCCCCTCCCTCCTTGCTCAGGCGCCTTTCCCGTGGAAGCTTGCAGGGAAATGCAGCCTCCGTCCCTCCCTCTGTTTTGCTCTGTAGGCGCAGCTCTTTGTTTGGGGATGCAGGGTGTCTCCTTGGCTGGTGTTAATTAGAAGGGTCACGTCAGCGCTTGTGGCACTGAGAGCCAGAGGGCACCGAGGTGGTGCCGCCCAGGACAGTTTGCATCTGCAGTCCTCTCCCAAATAGGATTTGGGCAACACCAAGACCCACAATTTTTAAGTTGAATATTGGCCATTTTGCAGTGGTGCCTTCAGCTCAGGCAGGCTGCGGAGGGATCGGCCACATCGAGCAGACCCGCAGCACAGCCACTCCCCACCACTTTATTTCTCCTTCTGCGTCAAGAGGGGAGGGGGAAGGGAGGCATCAGCATATCTGCTAAATTAGGGCAAGTTGTACAGCACTGGCTGGCTGATCTGACAGCGGAGAAGCAAAGAGGAATACAAAAAATTGTGGGAAACCAGTGTTATGCAGAGAGAATCCCCAAATTCCCGAACAGTTCTTCCCCCCCCCAAACAACTTGCTGAAAAATTCACATTCAGGTTTCCATGGTCTCAAAGGAGAGGAGCTGCACGCTCCCCAAGCCCATGCAGAGCCACAGTTAGTGCAAAGAGGGATCTGGTCTAAAGAGGACACTAAAGCACTTCCACGCAGCACCCCCTCCCTCCTCATGGTCCCACAGCCTGGGGGAGACCAACAGGTGGGGAAGAGGACTCGGGCAGGAGGGCGATGGATGAGACAGGATTACAGACGATGCTTTGACTGGCTGGCGGGCAGAGAATGAGTGAGTGTGCGTGTGTGTGGTGACGGCTGAGGCAGTTAAAAGACACTAAAAGAACCAACTCCCCGGTGTCCTTCAAGCCTGGAGTCTCCCAGGCCCTTATGCTCAAAATGGAAACGAAGAATCAATTTCCTCCTCAGAGCTCAGCCCCATTCTTCCCTCTTTCCCACTCGTCCCCAACCGCTGCCCATTTCCCCCATTAAATTATTGCTGACAGAGCCCTTTAAATTACAATGCAGGATCTTACACTGCCTAATCCACTTAACTCAACCCCAGCTGATTAAATTGGATGCCATATGGTGGGAGAGCACTGGTGTAATCTGCAGGGACAGGGACACACTTGACTCATTACCTGGAGCACAGCGCAGAGCCCTCTCTCTACACGCCTCCGTGCCAGGGCCCTGCTTGCTGTAAGGGATGCAATTTGCAAGGTGCCGGTCTCCAGCAACAACACCAGCTCTGGCAAGGTGGTGGTGCCATTAAATACAGCCCCAAGCAGCTTAAAGGCATAAGTTGTCCTTCATCTCTGCTGGCATCTGGCTGTTCCCCCAGCTGGTTTAGTAAGCACTCAGTCTCCCAAGGGCACTTTGGAAACTGGAGAAATTCAGTGTTTTGGGGAAAAAAAAAAAAAAAAAAAAAGAATAGGTGGAGGAGGTCTGTCTATGGGGAAACATGTCAATATCTTCATTTCTCTGATAGCTGGGATTGCAGCCCTCAGACCAGGTCACTGTGCAATGGTGAGGATTATAATTAAAAAGGTCACAGCCTAGAATAACACCCTGCAATGCAGGCCACAGCTGGAGAGCACATTTCCATAGTAAAGAGGAGATTTGAGGACACACTGAGCAGCTGTTAGCTGGACCACATCTGGGGAGCCAGCCCACCAGCACCACTGGAGCTGCACAGAAACACACCCAAACTAATAACATATCAGCACTTCTCACAATGCAGCGTTATCCATCAGGAAAGCCCCGTCCCAAGCACTGACAGCACTAATAGCACTCCTCCCAGTGAGCACCTGTGTCTGAGGGGTCAGTGGGAGCCTCATTTCGTGATGTGCCATCTGAAGTGCAAGCAATCAGTGATTTTTCCAGGCTCAGAATACATCCTAGGCATCCTGGTTCCCCTTCTTCTTGTCCTAGTGACCAAGTATCCCTCTTTCCCAATCAACTGCATGGCCAAATTAACCACTGGAAGAAATTATAGCTGCTCTCAGCCCTGGCAGAGCCTTTGGAAAATACATCATTAGCTACAGACTAGAGAGAAGCATTACAATGGCCTGAGAAAATACCAGAGCAGGAGACCCAGGTCCCCTCACACAATGCAGGATTGCCACTCCTTATATTATCTAAAACTGTAGGATAACCATACCAGAGAAAGAAAGAGCAATAACACACATCAGGACCTGTTTCCTTACCTTTTTGAAGGTTTAAGGTCAGATTTTCAGTCTGCCACTCTTAAGAGCAAGAAACTCACCTCTAAAAACACCAGGGAAAATAGGAACCCACATGATCACAGGGGGCCAGGCCTTAAGAAGACAACCAATTTCTGTGAAAGTAAAGGGATGCTATCAGAGCCAGCTGTGCCATCCCAGGCCCATAAACAGCATCACCTGAGGTGTTCAAGCTTTGGCCAGTACAGGACTCATAGGGCCCTGGGGCTTTTTTTTTCCCCAGGAGGCACCAAACCCAGTATTTTAAGCCAACCACACTGTCAACATCTATTTTTCCCTCCACTTCTCCCAAAGCCCAACTATTTCCGTAGCTTCCTAAGGGCATTTAGAGGTGGCAGAGAGTGAATACAAAGCATTTTGTCCTCACCCTGGAGCTGCCCCAAGGAAAGAGCCGCAGAGCCGGCAGATGCAGGAGGTGCTTCCAGCCCGCCTCGGGCCACACGTGGTTTTATTACTCCTGTCAGTCTATTAGCGGGTGATGGATGGAGGCTGATGGGGAAGGCAAGGCACTCCCTTCATTAGAGATACTAATATAATTTACAGAGCATCTCCAAAGCCCCGCAGGTCTTTACCAACCCTTGCTCTCATTCTGACGGATGCTGAGCCCCTCTCAGCCCCACAGGTCTCGGTGATAGGGGATGGAGGTGCTGAGCACCTGCCACAGCCAAGCCTGGGGCCTGATCCTGGCTACACGGTGTGTAGTGCAGTGCAGAAGGCTTATGCAGCCAGCCAGACACCAAATCCTCATTGCATGGAGGAGCTGCAGATGTCCCGAGCTCAGCCTCCCCTTGCTCCTGCAGCCCAGCAAGACGAAAGAGGCCAGAATCTGTATGTCCCATAAGCACACATCCATTTCAAAACCTGCCAATAAAACCAGTGCCCTGCAAAATGTGCTAATGTGTTTGGTGCGGTGGCATTTGGGCACCCCACCGCATCCACCCATGGAGTGCAGGAACCGCAGCAGCTTTGTCCCATCTGCTTTTCAGACTTGCATTTGGCTGCGGAGCTGGGGAAGACGCTGCTGGAGCGCAACAAAGAGCTGGAGGACTCCCTGCAGCAGATGTACGCCACCAACGAGGAACAAGTGCAGGAAATCGAGGTAGGAACACAGTCGGGCCAGGGATGGGGATGGGAGCTGCTTGGCCACCACTGTCACCTAAGGGTGATGGTGGGGAAAGGGCGCTTCCACCACTGCTAGCAGCTCAGAAGCCAGGAGAAAGGAAGGGATGCACCATGGGGATGGGAACTAAAGCCCATCCCCGCCCTGAAGAGGGTCCCCTTTCCCCACTAACTGGGATTTTCCCCCTTCTCACATCCCCACCCCCTGCCCAGATGTGCACATCAGATTTTGGCACCAGGCTGCATCTGGGGCACGTTTGGCCTTTCCCTGCCCATCCGCCAGCCTTCACACTCGCTTCTCTTTGCTATGCTGCTGCTTTTCCTTGATTCCAGTTATTCATAATCGCATTTGTTCCCAGCTGGCCCCTTGGCACCCCCGTAACACAGCCCCCTTTGTTAGAGGCATAAAATAGCTCTTTCTCCAAGAGCTGCAATCTAAACCACCATTTCAAGCATCCTTTGGGGTCAGGGCAGTATTTCTAAGACCCCACGGAACTAAGCTTAGAGGCTTAAACCTGCTGTGCCGAGAGGGTTTTCATCCACTGGAAAACTTCTAGGGATCTGTGAATTAAAAAAGATCAGAAAAAAACTGATTTAAAAAGACATAGGGCAGAGGAGGGCTGCGAGTTCACAAGAGCAGCACATGATGGCTGTGGTGATCTGACAGCTGATGTCTGAGGAAACCGGTGGATGGATTTAGCCATCCCCTCCAGAAGCCCTTCAGGACCGTGTCCACCATGCATTTGGGATCTGGTCCCAGCTGAGGGTGAGCTCTTGGGTAGATGCCCCTCTCCCAGGATAAAACCTCATAATGACAGACTCACAGAAAGGGGTCTTTGTACATGCAGAAACCGCAAGTGTCCTCACATTTCACAGACTCAGAGTTTTAGCCTGAATTCCCAAGGAAACGCAGCTTCCACAATTGATCTGTCAGATGATCCAGTAACCAACTGGCCAACTTTGGTGAAGGGTCACAGTCCCAGGGATATTATCTTTCTTTGGGTACTGGGAATAAAAAAGTAGTTGAATAGAGAGAGACTGAGGTTAGTCTCCTTCACAGAGGGCAGGGGAAGTTCAATCTTACTTTAGACACAAAAGTATTTGTGGGCAGGGGTATGAATATTTCACCTGTGCGAAAGGGTTCAACCAGGTAGAGGATAAATCGACCACAAAACACATTACCAGAAGATGCAAAGGCTGTAGGAATTTATGCCTGTGAAACAACCTGGATTTTGGATGCGGAGTATTTCTGTTTCGCTTTTTCTTGCAGTACCTGACGAAGCAACTAGAGATGTTGCGGCAGATGAACGAACAGCATGCGAAAGTCTACGAGCAGCTGGACCTGACAGCACGGGACCTGGAACTAGCTAACCAGAAGCTCGTGCTGGAAAGCAAGACATCCCAACAGAAGATACAGTGGTACGGCCTCCCCTCCTCCCACTGCAGCTGCCCAAGAGACATTCATTTCACCTTTCCCCTGCCCCAAAGCACAGCATGTCTTTGCTATTTAAGCCATTCTCTTATCACTCAGGTTTTGCAGCTACTTACAACACAAGCTCATTGCACCGATGCTGGTTAGCAGAGGTCAGCCACAGCACAGACACCCCTGGGACGAAGGCTGGATAAAGGAGTCTCTGTAGCTGCCAGGAGAGAGGCACAGCAGCCTCTCCTCCTCCTCCTCCTTGGATGTGTTTCCTTGAAGAAGAGGCACATAATCGTATCAGGGAGGTCCCCAGCACACAGCCCAGCAGGCACACTAGGCACAGATCCAACATTTAGTGAAACCCTGGCTAGTCCATGCTGAAACACCAGTTTGTCAATAACTTTTTCTTTCCTGAAACAGGCCCACAGTCAAGGTCATCCCTGGAAACAATAGGCTAAGCCATGTCCTTGCGATGCAGCATCTTTTGCAAATGACTGTGTAGAGAGGGAGTTGCAGAGCAGGGAGTTTTACAAACTGTGCTCACAGCCAGAACAAAACTAAATCTCTGCCCGGTCTCTCTGTGTTTATCTCTACAAGAGAAACAAGAGGAAGAGAGTAAATAGCTTACCTGCTTGCTAATAGTGCAGAGATATTCCAGGATAATGCTTATGTCCCAGAGGTGACTGGTTTAGCCAACTGATTTGAGGACAGAGGGTCTCAAATTAGTACGATCCCTTGCCGCTGTTTCAGTCCCCCACCCTTTTCTACAAACACTCCCATTCAAGAGTGACCACGCAGAGAAAGACCAACCACTGCCATGAAAAGCAAGTGCTGTCGTGGTCCCAGGACACATGCTAGAAACTGGAAGCACCTTCCATAGACTGGCTTTGTCTATAGGGAAAAAACACCTTTCAAGGACCTGTAGTGCCTAACTCCTCATCCGTGCTCCCTCCTCTCTCTGCAGCTTGACGGAAACGATCGAGGGGCTGCAGAACCAAGTGGAGGAGCTGCAGAAGCAGGTGGAGGAAATGCGGAGCTTGGAGCAGCTCCGCATTCGGCGGGAGAAGAGGGAGCGGCGCCGAACCATCCACACCTTCCCCTGCCTTAAGGAGCTGTGCTCCAGCCCCAGGTACGGAGCCTTGCCTTTGCCAACCCCTCCAACCTTCTCCCCCACCTCCTCTGCCCATGAACAGGGGATGCAGTGGGTTAGCCCCTCGGGGGTGCACAAAACCTCACATACACCCCCATAGAGATCTAGGGTCTGTAACAGAGCCTGAAACGCAATGCTGGAGGTGAAGGGAGGACCTCCCTCTCTCCTACCCACCCGCCTAAGCAGGTGGCCTTGGCAAAGCAGAGACTTCATGATCCCAGCATCAGTGATGCCTCGAATAGGGAGGCATAAGTTCTTCTTCAGAGGGCAAGAATAGCTACCCAGGAGGATCTCGATGCCTCATGCAGCTACGCTGGGCCAGGCTGCACGGGACAGGCATTGCCTGGAGGGGTTGGGATTCTCCTGGCACATTGGCAGGGAGCTGTGCGGGCACACACACCAGACAGGACACATTGCTTGAGCTCTAGATAGCTCAAACCAGCCTCTCCCAGTACAGCCCACCCAGTAACACATCATGGGAAGAGGACCCTTACCTTGAGCTGCCTATGCAGCTTCCCTTCCCGAACCAGCACAGCCTGTTTTCCCTTTGCGGCTGCCTCCCAGTACAGTACCAGTATCTCTGGCTCACTGAAACCAGCTGAGATGGTGCATTTTGTCCTGTATGACTCCAGTACACCCCAGGAGCACCAGTCACACACCAAGATATGCCACGTGCTGCACAAACACCTTCAGCACTATTGCACACTTAATCATCCTTAAAACCCAGCCAGTGTGCTAATTCACTGACCTCATGAGGGCATTTCTTGCTCAGCTTTGTCCATAATAGAGGCTTCTTTAAATAGATAAGCAATCGATAAACTTTGTTACTGAAAGCATCCTCTGCCAGAGGATATGAGCAAAAGACACTTTTACTGCAGCAGCAATGGGGATGTTTATGAGGCTATAACCTAACCCCCAGCAAAATCCACTTAATGTCTCTGTGGTTCTTTCCCCCCCCGTCACCCAATCCCACTCTCCACCCAGTGCCTCGGGACCTCAGTTTGGCTTGCAGCTCCGCAGTTGGCTCTGAGGGTCAGGCTGCCCTTCAGTAACTTGGAAAACTGTTCAATACCCCCTGACACCAGTCATGTCTCCCAGGGGAAGCCACGGTGCTTGCTTTTTTCCAATCTGTTCTAACTAGATAGTATGCCATGGGCATTTCATTGAGGAGGAGAAAAATCTGATTTCCTGACAGCAACATGCGAGAAGGGGGAAGTGTGTGTTATCGCTTCCCAGGCAGTGAGCAATGAAGAAGGGGTAACAGTCAAAAGTCTCTTTCTGCCCTTCTTGCTGTATAGATCTTATCCCACTCTCTCTGGAGCACCTCCCAGACACAGGACAGCAGAACCTGCGCTTCTGGTTTTTGGTTGGGTGGGGTTTGGGGTTGTTGGCACGTGCAGCAAGTAGCTGATGAACTCCATGATACAGTGAGTAGCTGACGAACTCCAGCAGGAAAAACTCAAAGCCTTCTACTTTCAGCTCTTGAACTGGTAGCACTTGAACATTCATCCTTGCTTCACTGCAATGTTGGTGGCTTGTCCATTAACCAGATGAGTCTTTTACCTTTTAGGGTTTCATTTCCCTCCTGTCTTTCATCACTGCTATCAAATGAGACTGCAGGTTCTCTGAGACAAAGCCTGGTCTCTGTGTCCAAAAGAGCCACAGCCACACCTTGTGGTCTCCTGGCACATGGGAGGAGGTGTATCTCACTCCATGAGCTCAGGTTACCTCCTTTCTGGGCATCAGTGGAATTACATGACGATAAGACACGTGAGTGCCTCATGGACTGTCACTTGGTCAGACTCTCTCAAGGGCCTTTCTTCTCTTTCAGGTATGAGGATGCATTCCAAGTCCACAGCTCTTCCACAGAGTTCAACCAGAAGCCACTGGAGAGGGAGAATGAGCGTCTCCAAGCCATGGTGAACTCCCTGAGGTCCCAAGTCAACCAGGAGAAGCAGCGGAAGGAGAGGGTTGAGCGAGAGTACACCTCCGTTATTCAGGAGTACTCGGACCTCGAGCAGCGGGTGTGCGAGATGGAGAACTGCAAACTGCGCATCAAGGAACTGGAAGCAGAGCTCCTAGAGCTACAACAGATGAAACAAGTCAAGAAGTATCTGCTCAGCAGAGAAGACAACTTGTCTGAGGCCCTCCTTGAGCCACTGAATAACGCCCCAGAGGCAGACTACATTGACCTGTCTGAGGAGGAGGGAGGGAAAGGTCATGGGCCATCAATGACACCTTCCCCAAACCACCCTGTCCGGAAAAGCTGCAGTGACACAGCCCTCAATGCCATCGTGACCAAGGATGCCGTGAGCCGGCACGAGGGCAATTACACGCTGCACGCTAACAATGTGCGCAAACGGGGCATGTCCATCCTGAGGGAAGTGGACGAGCAGTACCATGCCTTGCTGGAGAAATACGAAGAGCTCCTGAGCAAATGCCGGCAGCACAAGGACAGCGTGCGCCACACAGGGGTCCAAACGTCCCGGCCCATCTCTCGTGACAGCTCCTTCAGAGACTTCCGGGGAGAGGGACATGAGTTGGAAGAGCGGAAAACCATGGAGAAGACCATCAGCAAACACGTGGAGGCAGTGGACAAGCGGCTGGAGCAGAGCCAGCCAGAATACAAGGCTCTTTTTAAGGAGATCTTCTCCCGCATCCAGAAAACAAAAGCAGACATCAATGCCACAAAGGTGAAAAACAAAAGCAGCAAATGAGTCCTGCCTCTCTGCAAACTCCCCCGTGCAATCGCAACAGCCAAGTCTTCTCTTCAGCCCCAGGAAATGCCACGTGGCCCCACTGCTTTGAAGGTTTAAGAGGTCTACAAGCAAGAAAATGTCACAGAGACTCAACTCACTTTTTTAAGCTTGGGCTCTGGACAACTGGTTGGGACAATTGTACATTGTAGTTAGAGGATTTCAGAAACTGTATGACGGATCTCTGCATGAGTTGCTGCTGCTGCCAGACATCGCAACAGCAACGTAAACCACACCACAAAAAAAGAAAACTGATCACCTCCTCCACCCTTTTCAGCTTGTCTTACAGCCCAATTACGTGCAAGCAAAAGCCTGGATGTCCTCCAGCATCCTGCCACAGCTGGAGCGCAGTGTTTCAAAGTAAAACAAAAAGCCATCAGAACTTCAGGGGCTGCTCCAACACACCAGCCCAACCCTCCACTTTGGTTTTATGGCTAAGAACCTACGCTTGTATCCAAGAGAATTCCGTCTACGCCTTCCCCAAAGGGCAGTATGTTCTTGCTATTTAAGCCATTCTCTTATCAGTCAGGTTTTTCAGCTATTTACAATGCAAGCTCATTGCAACTGGAAAAACTTGAAGAGAAACATACACCTGATTGTTCTGTCGTCATCAGTGTCGCTTAGTATTTCAGTCCATACTCTCCAGACTTTGTAGGCATATGGGATTTCCTCGCTTTAAATCTGCCCCAGTATTTCAGCCCAGGTGAAGCACTGTGCCTGGTAGGAACTTGATGACCAGGGCTTTCCCATAAGCTAGACAAGAAGTGCTATTACAGTATCAGACATGCTTTCATCTCATAGTCTGGGTAACAGCCCTCTATGCTGTGCTCTTCAGGAGGCTGTCATTGCCCCATTGTAGCAAACTCCTCAAATACAGCTTGCATGGGCTTGCAAAACTGACTACCAGTGACTTGCACGCAAGCAGAAGGATAAAGCATCACACTCGTGTGGCATCAGGAGCTCTGGCCCTGGCAGTAGCGCTGATCACACATTGCCCCACACTTTTGCTCTGAACATCTGCCCAGTCAAGAGGACAGATTTCAGTTTTCTGCTGAAAATAATCTTTCTTGGCTGAGACTGTCTCCAAAGGTTGTCACCTCTCGTTCCACTTCACTTTCCAGCACTGAAATCTCCTCCCTTTTGCTTCCACAGACATGCAAACACACAGCCAAAAGGCCACTGCAGTCTCAGGAATCACCAGTTTCCATTTTTCATGAACTAGATGTTGACCTTGTACGGTCAGACGCGTGTTTTGGGCAGAGAAGCAGCATTTCATTACAGCTTAGGCAACACCCTGAGCATTGAGCCACAAAAAATGAGCAGTTCAGTGTAAGCTACCTATTCTGTACCTGCCTGGAGACAAACTTCAGGCCAGATTTGGATTCTATTTTCACCAGCTTACATCCCAAAATCTTGGGGAAATGGCTGGCATTTCTGCAACATTGAGATAAATAAATGAGAATCTGGCTTTGGAGGGGGAAGACTGTTAAAATGTAATTATTCTCTGAGTCTAGGGCCTTGACATTACAAGGAGCTATGTTTCTTTCACTCACCATGGAATTAGTGCAAAAATACCCCCCAAAATACCCTCTTGTTAAGCTGAGTACCATGGAGGTAAGTTGGCAGAAGCGCGATGCCTAGACCATACCCACTCCAGAGGTCTCCTCCTCAAACCACCCACCACCAAACGCTCTGCTCTTCCATGCTCTGCATTTTCAGGTGCCCTATGGCCCCAAACTCAAGAAACATTAGGAGCCATACGCAAGACTGTGGCTACCAGCTCTGTAACAGTATGAAGAACCTTCATGCCTTATTTATTTATAATGGAAAGCAGTTGTCTAATAAAATAAAATAAATAAAAATGAACAACAACAGCAACAAAAGCATCATTGTTGATTTTCTCAGAGCATTCACCACCCTATTACTTCAACATTTGTCGCAGGGAATATTTGAAGCAATGTTGGTTTAAGTCAGCCAATGTTTACTCTTGCCATCATCTGGTTACTGCAGGGGTGTGGGAAGAGGATCACCTTCGCTTTCTGTTTTAAACAGTCCTGTGTGAATCAGCATCACAGTTAAGTGTACAGCAGAGTAAATATATTTTCAAATGCTTTATTCTCTTCTCGAATAAAAAGAAACACCAGTATTCTCAAAGTCGAGACTTTCTTTACAGCTCTTTTTACTTTTAAGAATAGCATAAGAGTTATTCCTTTGATTTTCATGTTCGATTTGGGTCAAGAAAATGCTTCAGGGTCCTTTTGCAGAAAGCAGAGAGAGTATGCTGAATTATACTGCTGCATTATTTATATAACATACATTTTATGCACTTGGACTACTAACATTTGCCACATGACAAAAAAACCTTCTTTTGTCAGCTCTGAGGTCTCTGTAAAACTGCACAATTTCTAAGCTTGTAATTCAAATGCTATTTTTGTTTTGGTCTTTCTTGAAAACCACACATCCAAAAGTGACGGATGTAAGTAATACAATATTAGTATTTGGCTTAACAAAGGAACAGCTGCTGTATATCAGCAGTTTGTTCAGCAAAGTGCTGAGGCCATTTTTTCTGCATCCAAAAATATTAGTGGCCATATATACACATCCTGATGACTGTGTGAGTCAGAGTCACTTGATTTTTTCTTAAGTGAGGCTTTCAGTGATCAAAGGAGGAAAAAATAAGCATCTTCTGGCCTTTTATCCCACCTTCTATCTAAAGTTTTCAAATCACTTTGAAAACACCAAGGAAAACTACACAACTCCATTACGAGGTAAGAAGAGAGTATTAAACAACCACACTGCTCACCATAGAAACTGGTCTAATAGAGAGCAGCAGCTATTTAATAGCACACTCCCGTGATTCAGGACAGAAAGAAAAATACTGCATGCAATTAAAATGGATGAGAAAAAGTACAGTATAATAGGAAATAATGATTAATTACAGAATTTGGCAAAACCAATGACCCTATTCAGCTCACACCATTAAGATCAATAATGTCTCCAACCATCCAAGCGGAGGTCATTCTGCTTTTCACCAAGGCTCTTTGGATGTCTGCATCAGCCAGCGCAGTGTGGGAATGAAGCAAAGCAGAGAAATGTCCTTTTAGTCGGGTCTGGTTTCAACTGCATGACCTTGAAGCTCCTTTCCCAGCCCTTCTGTGCACTGTGCAATGACACCATCCTTTGCACATGCTACCAGCACAATAACAACGCCGACATGTTTGACAACAGTTGGTAAAAGGAATCATCCTGCTTTGGATGTTTTACCCATCCCTCTGGCTACAAATCACAAACGTTTACCTGTTCCCTGTTAGAAATTAAGGTCACCAGATGGCATGGTTTGCCTCTGACAGTTCTGTTTTTTTTCCTTAAAGCATTCTGTTTTCAGCTGAGTTTGGACAGGGGAAGCAGAGCAGAAGAACCCCAGGACACAGAGATTCAATTAAAACAAAGCGCAGAGCCCCCCTTGGCCCCCGAGCGCTGCTCAGCATCAGTCAGAGCAGACCGACCATCAACATTTGGGACCTGTCCTTTCCCGAGGACTGAGTTTCCTGATTTTGCGTTGATTATCTAGATGGGACCCAGCTCAGGTCCTCAATCACATGCTGTCTTTACATCAGCTTCGAAACACCCATCTTGACTTCACCCACAGTTTTAAACAAAAGATCGTCAGCTCCTGTCAAAACACCAGAGCTAATGACAACCCCATCCCTGCCTGTGCATTTTCCTGCTGCCAGAAATAGCAATCCCTGCCTCTCTCAAACGCACACCCTTCTTGTCAAGCCAATGTGACAGCTCCAAGAGGAGAAAGAGCTGAAGGATTTCCAGAAGTTCTTCACTCCCCTGCATCCCCCTTCCACCTCAGCATCTCTCTTACAGACCTAGAAACATGTATGTGCTGCTGTATCAGCCTGCATTAAAAAAAAAACCAAAACTTTTTAGCACTTGAGCAGTTAAAAATCTGAAAGCTGAAGCATTCCAGGCACAAATACTAGACAGTAAATAAAAAATGCTGGGTGTATTTTCACTTTTATGCCCTGCCATCAGCCACTCAGCTTGCAAAGGCATGGGGTGCAGGCAGGAACACGCTGTCCCCCACTGCTGCCTGCGCCATGAGGAGCTGGAAATGATCTGCCCAAACCAGCC